CTTTGGGCCCACCTCTGCAATGGATGCCATGTCCATGGGCCCTGAAGGACAGGGGTCTGGTGGGATCTGAGTCACTTGGCCTGGGCCCTTGGGTACACCTGTGTGAACTGGTCCTCCTTACTGTAGAAAAGATGGAATAGTGGATGGCTGGCTCATATCTACATAGAGAATCTGACAGCCCATTGGGGCCTGCAGAAAACAGCTGTTACCATAGCAGAGGAAGAACAGAACAAATTGTACAACTACCCATGCCCAACAATGACAGCAAATATCTGGGTAAATGGAGGCTCTAAGCTAGACTATGTCAGTCAATGGACACTGAAAGGGTTTCCTCATCCTTGGATCAGAGAGGTTGACGACATTTCAGAACTATTTGAAACCACCTGAGCAGAACTCTCAGAGCATATGCTACATGAGGACCCTGGGTTGATACTGGGTGGCAGTTCCCCATCCCCGGGTACTGGGGTAGCTGGGAGGTTGGGTGTGGCTTCTCCCATTATTGTCCTCCGACCCTTAGATGCAAGAAAAAGAAATAGAAAACTTGGAAACAATGATCACACCCACTTTTCCCTAACCCTCAATCCTTCCCACCCTGATCAACTCTACAAACATCATCCAAAATAAACATTTTTTTAAAAATTCAGGTCATGTGCAGAAGGCTCTGAAAGCTATAGCAACAAGATTCTCCTGGTGCTAGTTTCAAAAAGCGTGTGGCAACCAATCTCCCTACACCCAGTTCTGCCTTCTTGAAACAAGAACAACAAGAAATCTTGGAAAGACCCTTCTCTGAAAAATTGCATCCTGAGTGGAGACAACCTTATCAGAATCTAATGATTTCATGTCAGAATGATCTTCATCTAGGAATTCCAGGCTTTGCCAAAAATTGTTGCTAAAGCTCTAATCTTTGAATTTAGTCCAGACATGAATAAGCAAGGGTTTTGCCTTTCCTCACTAGAAAAGGCTGTATGAAGTTATAAATGATAGACCCTCCTCTCTTGACCTCTCAATAAAGATTAAGGGATGAAAACCTCTAAGAAGGTGATGTGTTGTGGAAGTAGATATCCAGTAAAGAGGAGCTCCGGATTGCTAGCATCTGTGCCCCTAGAAAGCAGCAAATTTGAATTTGAAAAAAGCCAACATGTAACATTCAGAACAACCGATTGTTCTTTCCAGCTCTGGAAGATACTGGACCAGGTAAGAATACATCGAGGCAGATTTAAGTGGAACCATGCTGGTTCTCACTCCTAGCACCTTAGTAGAAAAAATTAATATACAACCTGACTGTAGTCCTTCAAGTTTTCAGTGCTTGGATTAAAATAATAATACAACTCTTATAAGACAGTATATAATAATGGCAGTTATATATATGTTTGTTATTGCCTTCATACTGATAGCACACTTATTCCAAAGAGAGCCATAGTGATCTCCCTTGTCATTTAGAATTCTACATTTAGTGTCTTGCATAGCAGACTTGCCTCGATTTGAGAATGTAAGAGCCTGCCACATTCTCTCAGGACACTGTCCTCAGCATCATTGTATTTTCTCAAGACTGTATTATTGCCTGCATCCCACCTGATAATCATGATTTACCTCTACTAGTGCCTATTAAGCTTTCTTTTTATAACCCCTTGCACTATGTTTTGTTTGTTTGTTTTTAGTGATTATGCCAATGGCTCTGGTAAGTTTTCGTTTTAGCTGTATGTAGAATTTCCTCTGTCTTTGCCCTCCAGCCAGACCTGGCCTTGCCACAGTGAATAACACTAATTGGGCCTGCTTCTGTCTTTGGAATAAGAGCAAGGTCCAATAAAGCTATCTGGGCTCAGTGAAACTGGAGAGCACACATACTTTGTAAGGGGACAATAAACAAGACTTGCCCTTGTTTGGGGTCAGCATGTTCAATAGAACCTGGTAGGGAGGGCAGACGTGAGCCAGAGATAGCTGGGGTATGTGCCCTTGCCTTGATGGCCTTGTGGAAGGCACACGAGGGAACACATGCACTGATCATGCTTGTTTACTATATAATACTGTGCACTCTGGACAGGCAGTGCAGAATTCTGACTGGCTGGCTGGCTGGCTGCCCATCTGCTATCAGTCATTTCTGTAAGTGGAATAAATCCTCAAGTCTCCCAAATTCCCAGGTGGTTTTTGGAATTAACAAATGGTATCTACAGACCTTCTCAGACTTTGGGTTCCCTCAGTGTCACAGAGGTTTCTCTCATAGTGTTGGAGGCTAAAGTCTGAACAGCATGGGATTGGCTCTGGTGAGGGTCCTCCCAGCTCCATCAGATCCTAGCAGAAGGCATCATGGCAGGAAGGCTCATGAGAGTCACGATGCAGAGAATGAAGAGGCCAGAGAGGCTGGGAGAGGTGACTCTTCTGTAATAATCTCACTTGTGAGAATGAACTGAGGTTACACAAAACTGTATCAACCTCTTCTGAAAACAACACCTAATGATGCGATCATTCACTTTGTATTGCTGCCAACCAAGTGAAGATTTTACCACTTCCCAACTCTACCACACAGGGGACCAAGTTGGCAGCACATGGACCTATTAAGGCATATGTGAACCATATGCAAACCAAAGCAATGGTTACAATTAAGCAAAAAAAAAGGGGGGGGATAACAAGTTTTGGTGAAAATGTGGTGAATTAAAGCCCTGGTGGGAATGCAAAAAGGTGCTGGTGCTGGTGCTGGAGCAAGTTTCAAAAGTTTAGGCATAGAATTGTCTTAAGGCTCAGGAATTTCACTCCTAGGTATCTACCCCAAAGAACTGAAACATGGTCACACAAATGTTCATAGCAATATATTCACAACAGCCAAAAGGTAGAAATAACTCAAATGCCTATCAACAGATAGATGGATAAATCACATGTAATAGATTTATTCAGTCACAGAGAGAAATGCACCCTGAAAATGCTGCAATATTGATGAATCTTGAAAATATATCAAGTGAATAAGGTCAATAACAAGATATATGATTTCATTTGGATACAAAATATCCAAAATAGGCAAATTTGTGGAAACAGAAATTGATGATTGCTTACAGTATAGCCTGTGTCTGGGTGGTCCATCTGTTGTTGGTACCTCCAAGGAATTGGAGAGTGAGGGGCTAAGGCTTTCCATCAAAGAGGCAGAAATGAGAGAAAGTGACTGTTGCGCTTGGTATGGACTGAAGACCCTAGTTCCACTGGACTAGAAAATGCTTCCCACAGCTTAGACCTAAGTGATACAGGATATCTGGGCCCAAGGCCCAAGCAGCAAGGGTGATGGAATGTCTCCAGAGACCTATGTGTCAGGGAGATGATACATGAGAAGAGAGGGACAGCTGGAAGAACCAAGTGCGTTGTCTGCCAGGAACGTGATGGGAAGAGCTGCCTCTCACATTGGACCACCCAGGCTCTGAAAGGCAGTCAGAGATGTAAGAAATCCACATGCCACGTTCTCCTCCCTTCTCACTTTGGTTGTAGATAATATTAGCATCCTGATGGAAGAGAAGAGCAAGACAGAAGGAAGTGATGACCTCCCTTTTCCTGAAAAAGACAATTCATGCCACTTGTCCCGGCCAGACAGGGAAGGCATTGCACACTTGCTGTAGGAATGTGACTTTCTACTTAAAGTTACAATAAGACTTCTATTAACTAAGAGAGGTTTTTATTTTTTTTAATTATTTTATTTTTATTGGAAAGTCAGATATACAGAGAGGAAGAGAGAAAGAGAGGAAGATCTTTCATCCACTGGTTTACTCTCCCAAATGGCCACAGTGGCCAGAGCTGAGCTGATCTGAAGGCAGGAGCCCAGAGTCTCTTCCAGGTTTCCCATGTGGGTGCAGGGTCCCAAGACTTTGGGTCATCTTCCACTGCTTTTCCAGGCCACAAGCAGGGAGCTGAATGGAAAGCAAGGCCATTGGAGTTAGAACCGGTACCCACATGGGATCCCGGTGCATGCAAGGCAAGCATTTTTGCCACTAAGCTACTACACTGGACCCACTAAGAGAGATTTTTAAAATGAAGTGAAAACCAGAAGATATTTCTTTGATGAGCCAGTTTAAGGGGAAATGGAGAAGATGCAGTTGTTTGCCAGCGATGAATTCATTTAGCTGAAAAGCCATGAATCAACTTACAGACCATGCTGATAAATTAATTTAGCCAGAGTGAAGTTCTCCATTAAAAAATTAAGAATATTCAAACAATGTGTTTTCCACATCCCAATTTATAGTTGTAAGAAAATACAATGAATAAACATCACATTAAGAAAATTCAGGAGTGAAAAAAAAAATACAGGAGTGAGCATGTGGTAGCAATTATGTCACTGCTTGGGATGCCCATATCCCATATTAGGATGCCTGGATGGAATCTGAGTTACACTGTTTCCAATCCAGTTTCCTGCTAATGTACACCCTGGGAGGCAGCAGATGATGGATCCAGGACCTGGGTCCCTGAAATCTGCCCAGGAGAACTGAATGGAATTCTGTCTGAGCTCCTGCACGCAGCTGTTGTGGGCACGTGGGGGATAAATCAACCTCTTCTTCTCTTCCTCCCTTTCAAATGAAATAGAAATAATAAAAATTTAGAAAAGAAAATACCAACTAAAGATCTTAAATGTTGCAAGAAAAGCACTAAAAATACATGAAGCACCTGTGGCACTCAGTGGAGGGAAACTAACTTAGAGCAGTGATGCAGTCTTACAGTGAGATGCGTTTTCATGTGCAACTGAATTTCTCCTAAACAGCTTTAGTGCAATTGCATGCACTTTTGTGGAAGAAGAGTGTTTTCAAAAATTAAAATGGCAAAGTATCCTTAAACTGTCTGATATTTGAACATATTCAACATTTATACCCACAAAAATATTAGATAATTGGTTCTAGTAATACCAGAGAATAAATATTAAATCCAGAAAAAGATGTAAATGTATAAAGTTTGTTTTGTTATAAATTGGTATTTAAGAAGTTGAATTACTTTTTAAAAGTAATGTTGGTGAAAAAAACCACTGAGAAAATAACCACTAAGTCATTTATTTAAAGTTTAGAGAACTAAAATTACTGAAAAGAGACTGTGTGGCTTGTCTGGAAGGAGACAGTTTCACATCCTTTTCTCCTGTCTTTGTCTCTGCAAAGTTCACTTCCTGTGGGTGACAGCAAGGCTGCCCACAGCATTTATTAGTTGAGATAGCTATTGACACACTCACTGGAGATTCAAGTGCTGCACCGTCCTGGACTTAGCTGCCCACTGGTCTTGTGGCTGCGGTTCTGACCCTGTGAAATGACCAAGTTCACTCTTTGGTAAAACAGGTGAAGAGAAAATTTCCCATCATCCCTGAACTTTCATGAAACCAGGGAACCTCACATTCTACTGCTCTTTTTAAAGACATTTTTATTTGTTTGTTTGAAAGGTAAAGTGACAGAGGGAAAACACAAGTAGAGAGAGGATCATTTATGTTCTGTTTCATTGCCCAAAGGACAGCTACTGCTGTGGCTGGGCCAGACCAAAGCCAGGAGTTTAGAATTCAAGCTGGGTCTCCCACCCAGGTAGTAGGGATCAAAGTACTTGAGCCATTATCTGTTGACTTGCAAGTTCACTATCAGGGAGCTAGATAGAAATCAGAGCAACCTGGAGTCAAGCCAGCACTCTGATATGGATGCAAGCATCCCAAGTCATGGCCTAATATGCTGCCCCATGATGCTGGCCAACTTCTGCCCTTTGTAGATCCAAATCCATTCACCTAAATCTATTGATAACAAAATCTATTAATATCAATGCAAAGTAGCATGCAAAAATAAAAAAAAACTTAAAAGTGGCAGAGATATAACTTTTAACTTATGTTATTTCTAGTCCAGAAAGTTTAAATATATTTATTTTGTTCATTTGAAAGGCAGAGTGACATAGTAAAACAGTAAGAGAGGAAGAGAAGCCAGGCTTTTATCTGCTGGTCATTCACTGAATGACTAAGCCAGGCTGAAACCAAAAGCCAAGAACTCAGTCTGAGTCTCACATGTGTGGCAGGAATTCAAGAACTGGAACCATCATCTGCTCTACCCAGGAGCACCAGCAGGAAGCAGGGTTGAAAATGGAATAGCTAGAACTATAGCTGACACTCTAGTATGGATTGAGGGCATTCCTCACAGTGACTTAACCAGTTGCATTACAACACCAACCCCCATGTAGGGCTTTTAAAAATATTATTGTTATATTTGGGAGGCATAAGAATAGACAGAGCGACAGAGTCCCTATTCATTGATCACTCCTCAAATGGTTGCATTGACTGAAACGGGGCCAAGGCAAAATCAGAAGCTGAGAACTCAATCTAGGCATTCCAGGCACCCAAACTCTGTGTTTGTCAGAAGCTGGAATTGGGAGCAGAGCTGGAACTCAAATCCTGGCACTCCTTTATGCGTCCAGGTATCTTGGGTGTCTTAACCACTAGGCCAAATAGATGTGACTTTCCCTTAATTTTTTGTATCTTTTTATACAAAATGCTGACCAGCCTTACTCCAGCACAATAGGTCCTCAGGTGAAAAGATAATCCACATTTTCTTATAGTATTTCTGTGAAGGAAGATGACCTCCTTTCTTATCAGTGACAGTGGTGACAACACAGCATGAAGTAAATTGGGGAGTGTGCAACATACATATGTCATCAGGTCTAAATCCCCCAACAATTCACTGATTGCCAAAACCCATGTTCACTCCACCCTCAGGAGCAGTCTCAAAAAAGGGGCTCACACTGACCACAACTTGCTTCTTTCTAGCAGGGGTTCTGCTGAGGCTTCCTGAGTGTTCCCATGTCATTTTATTATTTTTATTTTATCAGCCAGTTTCTAGTCTTTTTTTTTTTTTTTTGCCTCTACCTTCTATGTCAGGTCTCTAAATCTCACTGTCTGAGAGCTATATAACTAGGCTATCTGCTTTTGTGTGTATGCCCATCATGGATGCCCCAGTTACAAACCCATCATCTCTAAACCTGCACATCTTCACTGTGTTCCAGACCCTCTTTCTGCATCAAGCCTAACTTAGTGAAGTTTTGGACCGTTCATGGTTTAGTTCCTTAGTGACACCTGTCAAATGTAGACTCACTCATGTCTTTTTCATGTCTCCTAAGTAAGTTTCCTAAGTGTTTCTTCTTCAGTGAACACCATTCCAATCTCAGTTGCAAACTTCTCTTTCTTACCCTCTAATGTCAGAAAGCCACAGTCTCCCAAGCGCTTCCTTCACCCCAGAACTCCAGAGCAGCATGTGTGAGTTGCATGGCATTTCTGCTGTGATGTCCCATCTCCCAGGCTAAACAGGGCTTTTCCCTACCTCCCAATCCTGTAACCTCCGTTTCTCACCAGTGATCTTTATTCTCTCTTCTACATTGCCAGTTTCAAATATTTTCCTCAACGTGATGATTTCTCACCTTCAGAACTGTGTATGTTGTTTTTCCTTAGCCCAGTCTTGAATTTCTGCTTTAGCAAATATAAGGTAGAAAATCAGGCTTATCACATTAATAGCAGACATCAGGAGGAAGATTTTGAACCATGAAGATTCTGGATCCTGAGGAATTAAAATGCAAGTTCTAGAAAACTATTTTTATAAATTTACACCATCTCTGACACAGTCCCCAAACCCATTTATTAGTTCTAATAATTTGTCTATAAAATTTTATGTCCTTAATTCCATTCTCATGGCAACAATAATTTGAAGGGCCACGGGAAGTTATCTGCTTCCTTGGAGAGTAAATCAACAGAATAGATCTCATTAAACCAGATCTTCATTCAGTTGATGCCATATTTACTGAAATATGGATAATCAGATTGTTAATTGCTAAGATAATTCACATCTTATTGATTTTGTCATAGCTGCACTTCTAAATTGGTTAATTATTGATTTCTGATTGTGTATCATCCTGCAATACATGGTTCCACCATCCTCAGTGTGTCAGTGAAGCCTGTTGACTTCGACAAAAATGGCATTGAAGATCTTGTAGAGATGAAGCAGCTACGACACTGTTTGGACTTTGGAGCTGGCAATGTTAATACTTCTAATCTTGACAACAAACACCAAGTTGAATTCTACAAGTGGATAGAGGTGGTCAGATTTTCTTGCCATCATTGCTATTTGAATTTCTTGTCTGATAATATTCTTTGTGCTAGCACCTAGGTTTTTCGTAGTTCCTTTTATTCTCATTGCATCAGTCACTTTCTAGTCTTGCCATCATTGCCTTTGAAACAATCTTTTGAGTACACTTTTTTCTCGGGCACTTGATGCTCAACTCTGCAGTATTCTTAAAGGTGTTTGACATAGGACTGATTTTTGTCCCTCTACCTCTTGTGAGACTGTGAAAAGTTCTGCTCCACTTTTTGATTGACAACTATAAGTGTACAAACAAACAAACAAACAATAAGGAACACTTGCAAGATGAAAGTCACCCAAGTGCCAGAGTTTTAATTACCTTGTTCTACCTGTGATAACTTCAAATATGGACATAAACTATCTGTATGGAAGTCACTAATAGAACAACATATTTCAACCTGAGAGTAATCATTGCTCACTGCCTGGCCAGATCATAAAAATATCATGTTAGGCACTGTGGATACCATCCTCCAAGAAGCCAGTTTACTTGATCCTGCCTGTTGACAGAATCCCCAGACTACCCAGAAATGAGCAGAGACTCACGAAGGGCAGCCTGTGTCTAAAACGGTCATTTTTCTCTCTGGAATTAATTATTTTTCCTTTTGGATCTCTAAAGTTTTATTTTTGATAGGAGACATGTATTTAAAATAACTACTAAAGCCTGATGTGTAAACAGAATATCTTCAGGTAAATCTGTCCATAAAACTTACAGAAATGGAAGTCTGCCTTCACTTCATAAAAGTAGTTCTTTTGTTCATTCTTCAACTCTCTCTATTCCTGCTCCAGAGTTCTCACTCTGTTTCTGGCAAAACTATATCCTGTTAATCTTTATTACTCACCTGTTGAACTAACTAAACCACATATTCATTGTTTTTCCAAAAGATTTATTTTCTTTGAAAGGTTGAGTGAAAAGTTCACTTTTGATAGGCAGAGTTATACACACACATACACAGAGAAAGAGGGAGAGACAGAGAGTTAAGAGAATCCGCAAATGGCCACAACAAATGAAATCAGGAGCCCAGAGCTCCACCCAGGTCTCAACATATGTGGCAGGAAACCAAAGCCATTAAATGCTTTCCCAGACATGTTAGTAGGAAGCTGGGTCAAAAATGGAGAAGCTTGGTCTTAAACTGGACTTCATATGATATGTTGGCATCACAGGAGACTTAACATACTGTGCCTCAATGCTGGGCCCCCAACATATTCATTCTTGAAATTGTGGAAACTCCAGTGACCAATGACTAAGTAGTCCCCAGCATAACTGAGGTGTAATGAGAAATATCATGTTGCCTTCTGTATTTGGAGGAATGCCTGACTTGACAAAATTTTTTCATAGAATACAGAAACTCATGATTCACTTCCTGCTGGCATCTCCACAACTTTCCACACATGCATTGCTCTTTCACTGTATAATTAATATTAGAAAAATGATTACCATTGTTTATGTGTTTATTACCTGACTAAGGAACAATCCAGTCACAGTGGAAGAAATTATTCCTCCTGTCATTCCAATTACGGCTGTAACTCCTTTGAGAAATACATAATACCTAAACAAATACGAATGACAATACACAGATGTAAAGTAGTACACATGCTGCAGGACAAATAACCTGATCAAATGAAGTTTAAGAGAAGTAACTGATGATTTTGTGAACAGACTCTTCCTACTTCTTAAATTTCTTTACAAAACAAATCAGAAAAAGTTCATAAATATAAGTAACTTTCAAGTTGCACTGGAGTCTACAACTTGATATTTATGTAGATAAAACTTAAGAAAATGGCGTCCCCTTAGCATAGTACCTGGCCGAATTAAGAAACTTCTATTTTTTTAAAAGATCTATTTATTTTTATTGGAAAGGCAGATTTACAGAGAGAAGGAGACACAGAGAGAAAGATCTTTCACTCACTGGCTCACTCCCCAAGTGGCTGCTGCAACTAGGTTTGCCTCTAGTTTATCCCTGTCCTCTGGGCATAACCCTTGGGGGCAATAAACATCTGGATCCTCCAAACTCTGCTAAATCATAGTTTCTCTGCAGCTACGGTACAAAAAATTCTGCCAGGCTCCTCAACACTTTGACTTAGAGTTCCCCCAACCCTAGCCTCAGTGAGCTTCAGAATTCAACAAGTATCCTAAGAGAAGAAACTGGAATTATATTATAGTTTTCCAATTTTGCTTTGCTTTTCTAGCCCTGTACAATTGCTTTGCTAATTTTTCCATCTTCAATAGCAGCCCTCCATCAGGACCAAGCCTAATTTATCAGGCTTTTGCCAACTGCAAGGATTGGCACATGATTCCATGGAAAATTGGTGAGAACTGTCAGCTCACCCTTTAAGGGTGTCGTCTGCCTATGTCTTTGGTCTTGGCCTCTGCTGCTATGAGATACCTTTCAATGAACACTATTGGCATTTTATCTGATTTTGTCAGGTTTTTATCTACTAAAATGGCAGCCATTATCCACAAGTTACCCTTTCCTATCCAGAGTAAGATTTCTCAAATCTAGCTTTACACTTGTAAAATATTATTAGGCACATAAAAGTTTACAACATTGTATATTGCAATGGATTAAAATTATTAGGGAGGGCCTGGCACTGTGGCCCAGCCGCTAAAGTTCTTGCCTTGAATGCACCGAGATCACATATGGGCTCTGGTTCTAATCCCGGCAGCCCTGCTTCCCATTTACCTCCCTGCTTGTGGCCTGGGAAAGCAGTTGAAGATGGCCCAAAGCCTTGGGACCCTGCACCCGTGTGGGAGCCCCGGAAGAGACTCCAGGTTCCTGACTTTGGATTGGCTCAGCTTTAGCCATTGCAGCCACTTGAGGAGTGCACCACCAGATAGATCTTTCTCTCTCTCTGTCTCTCCTCTCCGCATATTTGCCTTTCCAATAAAACAAAAATCTTAAAAAAAGAAATTACAGAATAGGCTGTATTTCTCAAAATGTCTTGCCTTAAAATCAAATTTTTAGTATACTTTCTTTTAATTATCTTTTCATTTTACTTCTTTTCAATAGCATTTCAATCCTATGTAACCCTAGTACATTCAATATTGCAAATGATTCCTGTTGGATTTGCATTTAGCATATATTCCTTTTTAACTTTATTTTTGCTTTTTTATCACTAATTTTTTTCTTTTACTAGTAGCATTTCCTTTATAGCTTTATTGTGCTAGAGAATAAAATATATATTGTGGGACATTTATAAGTTTACTATACAGTGTATTCTTATTGTTTGTTTTAACGTTATAACATTTTAATTCAGTTAGACTCTCTTAACTTTTATATATTTGAATTTATGTATATGTTATACCCCTATAACATACCACTGTTTTTGCTTTGCTAATACAGTGGCTCCAACTTTTGATTATTTCACTTTTGCCTGAATAATTTCTATTTTTTAATTATTTTATTGGAGGTCAATTATTAATAAATTCTTTCCATTTGCTTTTAAGTGTTTCTGTTTTATCTTAATTCTTGAAGGAAAATTTTGTTGGGTAGAGATTTGAGTTAACAGTGATTTCCTTGTTTTGTATGTTAGAAAGAGCAATTAGTTGGTTTCCGGTTTATGTTAGTAGTAAAATATTTGCTTATGGTTATCGTGAGGATTGATAATATATAAACATGCAGATCGATGGCACTAATATTGAAGCAACCAGCACTTATTACAGCATTTACTATGTGCCAGGCACTATTCTATGTATTTAGCTTACATTAACTTGTTGAACCCTCTTAACTCTTGAGGTAATCATTTTCTTGTTACTCCTATATTACTCCTATATATACGTAAAGCAAGCAACATCAAGAAGGTGAATACTTGTCCTGATGTAAGTGGTATTGTGGATTACTACATAATTACAGAAAACAGTATGGTTATTCCCCAAAATATTAAAAAGGGAACTTCCAAGTGACCCAGCAATCCTGCTACTTGACATAGACCTAAAGGAAGTTAAATTGGTGTGTTGAAGACAGTTGACTGCAGTTGAATTCATAGTGTATTGGTGGTTATGAGCAGCTAAAGGGTGGGACTTGAGGGCTTTTTAGGGCTATAAATGTCCAGTTAGGAGGAATAAATTTGAGAAATCTGTTATACAATATGGACATTATAATTAATAGTGTATTATATTTTTAAAAATTGCTAAGAAAAGTTTATGCATTCATACTTTAAAAGGCACGGGATCTAACATATACGCTGATTAGCTCCACTTAGCCATTGCATAGTGCATTTATATTTCAAACCATCATGTGCGTGTGCAGAATAAATATATATGCAATTTTGTTAACAAAAATTAAACAAATTTTAACAAAGCCCTACCTGGGAGCAATATCCAAGGCATTGATAAGTGTTCCAGCAAGACACAAGCTGCTTGTTGCATTTGCAAGCATCAGAAAAGCAACAGTGCTGGAGAAGCTGTAACTCAGGTAGAGCAGGCACATGCTGAAGATTGAAGGCAAGAGAAGTCCTAAGGAGGGATTCAGAGAACCAGTCAGGTGCATCTTGAAGATGCAAGTGACATTCCCCCAAAGGCTCAAATACCCTGCCTCTTCCTTACCCATTGCAGTGAAGAGTTTCCGAATAGCAGTTAGGCTGAGAACATTCCTTGAAGAAAGCAGATCGGCTGTGTGACCTGCTATGATACCACAGATCCATGCAAGCAAGAAGGGGAGACTGGACAGCAAACCGTTCTGAGAAGGAAACATTCTGAGCATAAGTGTGATTGCAGGACTTATAAGCACAACAGTCCTCAAATTGAAGTTCAGTGTCAACAAAATATGAACTCTCACATAGAAAAATATCAACATACAACACTGAAATTACTACCGGAGCCACATTCCTGAACAGATAGAAAAAAATAATGTTGATTTTCAGATCTGTCACAATCTGGATTTCTGCTTTTAATCTCATGGCACCTGAAAGCACTGGATAACCCAGAGGAAGACTATATTTGAAATGAGAAACAATGACCCTCAGGAAACTAGTAGGAGGCCAAAAAGTGGAACCATATGCACAGCAGATCCTACTCTGAACCATTTGCTGTTAATCCTTGGAACAAATTGGTGGCTTCATGGAAGACAAATGTGACTCACAGAGAATCTTTATGACCTACAGTTATGCCAGCCCTTTGCTGGGCTTCTGGACATTTGTCACAGAATGCTACAAAGCAGCACATGCAGATTCTATTTCTAAAGAAGTTCTGTCTGGTTATTACAGTATCAGAAAAGAGGAACATGCACTGAAGCCAAGGGGTGCCAGTCCTTTCAAAACAATGCACAAATCTAGAGTTTACATTAGAAGATTCATTGCCTTACTTCAGAAGAGAAAATAGACAAGATTTACCTTCAGGGAAGAACTCCAGTCTCCACAGAGAATGGTGGTACTGAGCTCAAGGCAATACACAAATGCAGTGTGAGTGGGAGGTAGGGAATACGTGGGCCACAGGTTCAAATGATTGGTGCTGGAGTGTCAGACACTATGTCTATGCTAACACTTTATATGCCGGGCAATATTCATGTAAACATCCAGAGTTTTTATTCTCCTGGTAAAAGGGTAAGTGTTGTGGCACAACAGTTTAGAGCACTACTAGCAACACCTGCATCCTTCTCAGAGTGCGAATTCAATCAAGTCCAGACAACTCTAATTCTGATGCAACTTTGAATTAATGTGTGCGGGGGGTGGGGAAGGTGAGAGAGAGTGCTTGCACTCCTACCACCCATATGGGAGACTCAGATGAATTTCCTAGCTCCTAGATTTGACTCAGCCCACCCCCTGAACTATAGGGTTAGGAGACAGGAATAGTAGAAGAAAGATCTGCGTCTATCTGTGTGTTTCTTTGCCTTTCAGGTACACAAAAATAAATAACTAAGAAAATAAAGCATTAGTTAAATGGTGTAGGGGACAAGCAAGACCCGAGCCTCTAGCTACTAAAGACAGGAAGTAATAGAGTCCTTTGTAAAGCTGGAAAAAGAAGAGACGGTACACTTACCTCTCTTATGTCAACATGAAGCATGGAGTTGATAAACGTTGGGCTATATAGAATCAATATATTATACGTCCATAAGTAAGCAAAACCACTGAAAGAAATGGCCCAGAGTGGAAGAGACTTAATTATAGCCTTGATTGGCAGAGATGGTCTTGTAGAGCTCACCTGAGAAGGAATTTAGGAATCATTAGCCTACTAGAATCAGCTGGAAAACAGTTCATTTGTAGTAGAATCTGGGAGATGCCAATTCTGTGTTCTACCTGCTGGATGAGCGAAGACGTGATGTATTCCTTCTCACTGATGCTTACACATGGATGGTTCTTGGGATCATCATAAAACAGAATGAACCAGAGAAGACTTAGTGCGCAGCCACAAGCACCTATCAAAGCAGGATACGTTAGGGCTGGAAGTTTCTCTCTGTATTGGATCTTCTGTTCATTTAAGCATTTTTAGCATGTCAGTCTAAGAAGATGGACCTCCCCTTTCTGCTTTGACACTTTTCAGTAGACTCTTATTTATCATAACCCTTCTTGCATCTATGGCTGCCTCCCCAATGCAGAATGAATGTTGCAGAAATGGTGGCAAGTCTTCTGACTCACATTCACGACAGCTGGCCTCCCTGCTCCTGTGTTACCCCAGGAGAGCATGGCAAAGCTAAGCTCACACTATCCAGTCAGTTTTCAGTTTTGAACACCTTTTTAATGCCATGTTCCTGAGACATTACCTGAGCATTGGAAATAATCCAAAAGCTATAGCAATTACCACATTTTTTATTGTTTTTAAAATGTTTATACTAACAACCTGACCATGAGGAATCTTAATAGGACACAGAGGAGGTAGTGTTCACCAATAAGTCTTCTAGAAATCCATTCATCCATTGGACACTGATTACCTAATCATGGAATACCAAGGTGGTGCTTTTCCAAGTATTGAGGATATGAATGAAACACACAAAAATTCTCTGCCTTCTTGGAGTTAATTTTCCAGTGGACAAAGAATCATGTTAGTTCTTAAAAAAATCACAGCATACCATTATTATTTGTTTTTCAAACATGAAAAATGAGACTCTCGACTTCAAATTACTAGCCCAGGTACACACGGTTGTTAAGTGGTAACTGACTTTTAAGCACACACTACATCATCTAGGGAGGGAATAGAACCCTAGAAGAGGAGAGTGGAGCCGAGCTTTCAAGAAATACAAAAATTAGTGCCAAGCAAAAGAGGATAAGTTACAAAAGAAACTGAGAAGGAATGGCCAGAAGGGGGAAGTCTGATTCTGGTAGGGAGTAGGAATGAAATAAGAAGGAAGTGCCTGAAAATGCTACATCAAAGAATCACAAGAAAATGTTGGAAGTGAAAAATATTGAAACACAAATAAAGGATGCCTCTGATGAATGTGTTAATAGAATTAATATGACAAAAAAGAAATGGTGTGCTTGAAGAATGACAATAGACATTTAGGAAACTGAGTTTCAAAGAGAAAAAGATTGAGAAGGACAGAACAGAATTTCTAAGAACTGTGGGACAATTTTTGAAAGTGTTACATGTAATGGAAATATCAGAAGCAGAGAACAAAACAAAAGAAATATTTGGAGAGCTGAATGGGATATGGGACAGACTGGACAGGTATGCTGTATGGGAACCAGGGCAGGGGGCAGGCCTGGTGGAGGTTATTGGGAGTTGCTCTTAATAGGCTGCAGCTCCCACTGCTTTGTGTGAGGGCCGAGTGTGAGGTGGGCAGAATCAGGCTGGACTTCAACACCCACTCATAGGGCTGGAAACAGAATTGACCCAGCCAGGGCAACCAGCAACATATGCGTAAGCTGATTGGGGCAATGGACTCTGCTGGACCTTGTACTGGCATGCACGCACAAGAATCGGGTCTGGCATCACCTCAGATGAAGTTTCTTTGAGGATCCCTCCAACTGAACTGCTGATCTCAGAATCCCAACCATGAAGAGAAGTGCAGGTCCCATGGCCTGACTAGCGAGTGCATGTCTCAAAGATGAGCCTCCTCAGAGGCTCAGACGGAACAATAACCAATGTATCAAGGTGCACATAGAGGATATGGCCGTGTATTGGATCCTGCAGAGGACACTTGGTGCCACAACAGGATGGGGGACAGAACAGATCAATTTCTACCCCAGCCATATATTGGCAGTGAAACTCTGGGCTCACAGAGACTAAGGTAGACTGTGTCAACCAGTGGATTCTGTGGAGATTTCATCTTGTTTGGAATGGCGAGATTGGCAGCAATTCAGAACTGTTGGGCTATCAAAACTGCTTTAGAGCATGCCCCACACTGGGGACCCTGGGATGGGTGGGAAGCTGGGTGGGGCTTCTCCGTTTATTCTCCCCTTACCCCAGATCTAGAAAAAAATAATAATAATGTGGAAACAATGGTCTTACACACTTTCCGGTAGCCCTTGAATCTTTGTGCCCTAATCAACTATGTAAAGATTATCAAAGTAAAATAATAAAAACAGAAATATTGGAAGCAATAATTCCGAGGCTTTTATCAGTGTTAGTGACAACTACATCAAACTACAGAAACAGGAAATTTAGAGTACTGGCAAGAATAAATCAAAAAATTATAATTAAGTATATCATATTCATTTGCCAAAAAATAATTTTTGAAAGAAGCCAGTGGAAACAAATACCTGAAGCGTTAGTTTTAAATTTAGCATTCTCAGATTTTACTGGGCACAGATCCCTGACCACTAGTCTGAGGTTTGCTACCCACACACATTCCTCGACTATTTGGAGTTTTGATTGATTATGCATAGAAATCCTTGCCTTCTGTGTCACTCATGATTCATATTCCTTTCAAGTAGCCTTGCCTGGCCCACTGGATCCCGAACTTAGTGGAAAGTGGGAAAAGTGCTGCTGCACTGAAAAGGGTTGGTTGCTGTCCATAAAACAGTTGAGCTCAGTGTGTTTTACTGTACAAACTGCCAATGAAGAGAGCATGGTTGGAGAGAGGCCAGAATAGACCCTCTACAACTATGGAATCCAGGACAAGAGATCTCCTCTTTCAATCTGATGCCTTGTTTGGAAAATATTCGAAAGTTTAAAGCTAATCTTGATTTTACATTTGCCTTTGTCACTAATTTCGTCAGTCTTTTGATATCTGTGGGTTTTATGTGATTCTAATAAAATGTTTGTGGAGGCAGGTAACGAAATCCTTAAATCTTGATCAAAATTATTTTCCCCCCTTTTCAGTAAAAAAAACAAAAGCAAATGCGGTACTGCTTGGAAAGCTACTGTAGTAAAATGAGTGGTCCCTTTGAGCTTTGTGGGAATATTGATGCATTTGCCATTGACACATCACCAGAACTACAATATGAATACTGTAAATAATTCAATCTGTGATCTGTAGTGCTGGGCAATATTAGTTATTGGGCAGATTTTCTTGCAAGGAGCTGAAACCTCAACATCCTGCAGTTTATGCATGCTTGAATTGGTTTGTAAGGCAATGCATTTCTCTTATACTGTAATTCTACAAGACGTTTGTTGCCAAGTTTTCCTTTCCACTTAGTCCAAGTTTTTTTAGAAACCCCCTCTTTTAAAGATTATTTTTTAAAAATCTATGTGAAAGGTAGAATTATGTAGAGAGGAAGACAGATAGATAGAGGTCTTCTATACTTTCTGCATATCTTCTACACAAATAGAAGCAGAGAGCTGGATTGGAAGTGCAGCATCTGAGACTAGAAACAGTGCCCACATAGGATGCTGGTACAACAGGATAGAGGATTAGCATACTGTGTTATCACATCAGCCTTGCTGCTCCACTTTTCAGTGCAGTTCCCTGCTAATGCTGCTGGGAAAGCAGGGGAAGACGGTCTAGATGCTTGTATCCCTTCCACCTATTTGGGAGACCCAGAATAAGCTACTGGTGAACCAGCAGATGTAAAATTCTCTCTCTCTCTTTGTAATTCTGCCTTTCAAATAAATATACAGATTTTGAAAATGGGTAAAATATCACCCATCTAGCATTCCTTTATCTTCAAATCTCAAACCAAGATTTGAAAGTCAAAAGTGAATATATAAATCCACTTGAAAATCTTGAATCTTCATAATTTTTATTGCACTTTTCACAAATTTCAATTACATGTAACCCTGGTATTGTGAAGTAATGGGTAAAACTATCGCTTGTGGATGCTGTCATCCATGTAGGTACCAGCTGGTGAATCAGCCATTCTACCTCCCATCCAGCTCCCTGCTAATAACCTGGAAAAAGCAGTGCAAGACTGCTTTAAGTTTTTAAGTTTTTGGGCCCCTGCCATCCCAGAAGAGATCTCAGTGAGGCTCCTGCTGCCTAGCATCAGCCTGGCCCAGTCCAGGCCATAGTGACCATCAGGGGAGTAAAACAACAAATGGAAGATTTCTCTCTGTCTCTGATTCTTTCCTAAATAAATAAATAAATAAATAAATAAATAAATATTTTTAAAAACAATACATCTGATTATTGGACATTGCTCCATATCATGCTTTGGGTGGAAGTAATGTATTCATCATATTATCTTCCTGGAATCTTTTGTTTGTTCTGATCATCCATTTCTCTAAGCTTCAAATAAAGTAGTTGGAGCTATCATATGCTATTGGTATTGTATAAATGGGAAGTTATGTGCAAAAATACACTTGTAATTTTGAGCATGATGTCTTATTTCTAGTAAGACCTCTGTGAATGCTAACGTCTCTGTATCCTCCAGTGGAATTCAAGATTTTTAACACAAATTTCATATACATTATTATGCTAGGTTTTTACTTCTAGTTTTTTTTTATTCTTAAATTCAAAGTCAAAATTGAATTTTACAGGAAGAGACTTACCAAAAATGTAGAAGACCATGGGCCAGCCCAGAGCGTCACAGATGATCCCCGTCACAAGCAGGACAATGAATGGACCCAGCAGAAACCCTAATCCAAATGCACAGCAAAGACTTTTCATTAATGCAGATGTCTGAAAGCAGAGCTAATGCCTCCCTACCTAGCAGTGATACAATTTCTTGTGTTGGACATTTGTACAGCAAAACACTGAGCAGAACTTTTTCTTTTTTTTTTTTTTTTTTTGCTTTTTTCTATTGTTGAGACACTGCTTCATCTCGCTAGAGAATTCTTTCTTCCTTTTTAAGCAAGAAGTTTAGGATTAGGTGATTTCCAAAGCTCTTGACAGCTTAAAACATGTTTCTTATGGTTCTGTAAAAGAACACAATGCAATGAGATGAAAGTGGGAATCAACCATCTGTGTCACCTGATAGACTAATAGAGGTAAGACGGCTTCGTTCCAAGGGAGGAGCCCATTTGACCCATATTTCATGCTGTGCTGTTGTTGCTGTCCCCTGAAATGAGAAATATTGGGACACTTTACTTCTGATACTTTCTATGAATTTAGGGTCTGTTCAGTTTTTGTATCATCTTAATACCTGGGACATTCCTTGGACTACTCTGCATGCAATGATCCAAGTTTCTCCAACTTCAGCAGCTAGTGGGATGAACAGGCTTAATAGAGAGCTCAGGAATAACGCAAGGCCAACAATTTTCTTTATGGGATATATTCCAGAGAAGTATCCAACAGGAATTTGAATGACGAATGTACCATACAAAATGGCGCTGAGGATGATTCCCTGGATATCAGGACTCCAATCATAGACAGGGTTCTACGAGACAAAGGGAGACAGGCAGAACCATGTTACACAATCAGACTTCCTTGTAATGTTCAGGGATTTAGGGAAACTGACCGTACTGCTCATCCACATAAATTAGCTCCACACTTTGTTCATTTGTAACATCATTTATATAGAGTTATTCATTTCCTCACTTGTGTTTCCAACTGCAGATCGAGTAACCCTAACCAAGATGCTTGGAATGGATCAGAGGTATTATAGAGTTCAGACTTTTTTTTTAAATTTTAGGATATTGGCATAGATGCATAATTGAATTTTTTAGGAATGAAACTCAAACCTAAACCCCAAATTCATTTGTATTTGTATATACCTTATATACACAGGCAAAAGGTAAATTTATACAGTGCTTTTTCTGTGCTGAATTGTGACCCATTATTTTTTACTCATGGCACCATATCAGCACCTCCTTCCCCCAAATCAGATTTTGGGTCACTTAAGATTTTGGATTGGAGATGTTCACCCTCTATAATGTAAAGTCCTCTCAGCCATGACACTAGTTGCATCTGCAATAACTGTCATGCCAGAGACACTAACAGTCAGTCTTGAGTGTTCCAATCTGTGTGTGAACTCTCCTCCAGAGCCTTGCAGATACTGGGATGGATAATTTCCGTTCCCTTCCCCTAACTCCTCCACTTATTCAAGCTCATCTACATAGAGACCTTTCAGTCTGTCAAATTGTTCCCAGAGAGAAAAGCAGTGTTAGAGGGAACCTGCAACAAGAAGTCTCTTTCTGAACTGTAGACAGGGACCTGGACAGGGACCTGAACTGGACAGGGACCTCAGAGAGAAAAGACTATTCTTCTTCTTGCCCTGGTATGGCCTGATTCTCTACAGAGTGAATTCCTTTGTCAGTTTCATGTTAGAGGGCCTTCTGTAGTTTTGCTGCATTGTTGAAACTGGTAAAAGCAATTTTAAACACTGAGTCAGAACACAGTCAGGAGCCAGGAGCCAAAGTTAGGTCTCCCACGTGGGCAGCAGGGACTCAGTTACTTGAGTAATCAGCTGATGTTTACTAGAGTGTACATTAGCAAGAAACTGGAATGGAAATTGGAACTGGGACTTAAACACAGATACAGTATGTGGGTTTCCTGGGCAGCAGCTTAATTGCTGTGTTGTATGCTTGCATCTTTTATCTTTTATTTTATTATTATTATTAATTTTTACTCAGGAGACGCCCCAAAGAATGAAGTTTTTACCCTTATGCACAACAGCAGTGTGCCTGCAGACATGCATATTAAAAGATCACTTGGTATATTAAAAAATTTTCAGGAAATAATGAATATTTACGTACACACCTCTGTATTGGCACACCTTTTTATTATTCTTCAATAAATGCAGATCAGCGGAATAACTGCTGGTAAGTGTATACTTAATTTGTTATGAACTACAAAGTGTTTTCCTCAGTGGATACGCCAGTTTTCATTCCCACCAGAAGGGTAGAGAGAATAGTCTTGGTTCCTCTGTGTTCTCAGCAATCTTTGCTGCCAATGTACTCTATGGAGCTTGCACCATTGTAACTAGTACATTGTAAGGTATCTCTGGGGGTTTCACTTGTGCTTCTCTAACTAATCTTGTGGCATATCCTGTGATGTATTTGCTGACTGTATATCTTCCTTGGTGAAATAGCTGCTCCATCCTTTCCCTATTTCTGTGTAGGGTGGTCTGTTTCCTTTGTATTGGATGCTAATAATGGTTCTGTATTAGGTAAATTTGCAAATATTTACTCCAGACTTGGACTTAACCATGCCATGAATTCTAATGAATTCTAATTTCATGTGTATTTTTTGTGTGTCCTGAAACATCAGTAGTTCATATATGTGTACCTCTGTCCTACTTCCTTGCCCAACTTTCTTGTCTTTATACATGTACTACATTGTCTTGTTTACTGTAACTTTATAACATGTCTTAAAAGCTATTAAAAAAAAAAACAAAATGCAGTTCTTTGTGGCTAAATGGGCCCAACTGGAAACTATAATGCTAAGGGAAATGAACGAATCCCAAAAGGTTGGATACCACATGTTTGCTTTAATCTAACCTGTATAATTTTTCTTTTTTTTTCTTTTTGTTTGTTTGTCTGTTTGTTTTTGAACCTGTCATTGATACTGTCTCAACCCATGCGCATTGAAAAATTGAACTTGCATTTTTTTCTAACATATTGTCTACTCAATATTATGTCATTTAATTCCAAGACACTGTAAAACAAACAAACAAACAAACAAACAAGTCTGATGAGTAGTACTAATCCACCAACTACTAATTTTCAACAAAAATATAAAGGCCATTCGATTAGAACAGGTTTGTCAATAAATTGTGCCAGAAAACTTGTATATCCATATATAAGAAAAGATCATCAATGTAACATACATGGATATTCAGATGAGTCATAACTTTAAATGTAAAGCCAAAATAGCAAAACTTCTAAGAAAAAAAAAAAACAGACTGCTTTGTACCTAGTATTGTTGCAAATATTTCTTAGATTTAATATCAAAAGTAAATCCCCCCAAATACATTAAAAATGTTTTATGTAGAAGCATATTTATATAGACCAGAAATGTGGATTTTTAGGAAAAAGAAGATCATTAGAAAAGAATAAATGAAAATATAGCTTATTTCATTTGCAGTTGATCTAAAGGATAAACGTTTAAAGTTTATACTGGGTGTTTAAAGTACATGAATAAACAAAGTGAATAATAATATCACAAGAGATGGGAGAAAAGAATTACGTTTAGTCTGTGATAAGTTGTTTGCACTATTTATTATACAGTATTCTATTGTTTGGGAGTAAATTTAGATTATTTTTAAAATACATATTGTGAACCCTATAGAAATTACTAAAATACTTTGTCTTTTAAAAGAAAATCTCACACTAAGAAAGGAGAAAATTGAATTATAGAATGCTCAGTTAAACACAGAGAAAGAGGAAAAAAGCAAATATAAAAAAATGAAAATCAGTTATCAACTGTGTTGTTGTCTATTCTTTCAGTTAGGTTTCGATTTCGGTATTTTGCTCCTCTGTTGTAAGGGACATATGTGTTGGGAATTATGTCTTGGTGTATTGATCTCTTTATCATCACATTGTGCCTTCTTTATCTTGGATAATTTTCTGTGCCCAGAAATTCTACTTTAAAATTAGTACATCTCTTCCAATTTTCTTTTTTATTAGAGTATTCATAGTTGTATATTAAAATAAATGTATAAACTTACTATTTTTACCCAATGACTTTTAACTTTATACTGAGGGAGAATTTCATGTGGCTAGCATGTTTTTAGATTGTTATTTCTTATCAAATGTGAAAAACTTTTTTGACTGACATACATAGGAATTATGCCACTTTTCAAAAGACTGTCAGTATAGTTAAAAATCTAGCATTGATAACAGTTTTTGCATGACAGGACTGCTAGTAATTAATTCCTTGAGGTTGTGTGTACAGCCACGTGTGTGTGCATATTGTGTGTATCTGTGTGTGTGTCCATGCATGTGTTTTGGCCTGAGAAAGTCATTATTGTCTTACTATTGAGGATAATTTCATTGGATATAATTTTTATATTATTATATATATATTATTCCTGGACCCTCAAGTTGTGTCTTTAATCTTGTTTTTTTGCAGTTTAAATAAGCTATGCCTAGATTTTTTTAGTCTTTCTGATGGCTTTCAATTTTGTTAAAGTTCTCTCTGAGCTTCTTGTGTCTATGATTAGTTGTCTACCACTACCTTTAGAAATTTCTTAATTACTACCTTTTCAAATATCCTTTCTCTTTTATTTTCTTTCTGGTATTCTAGTTGTGCATATATTATGCCTGAGATAATAAGGTGTTTTTTTTTTGTTCCCTGCTTCATTCTCCTTGTAGGAAGTTTCCACTGACCTATCTTTATGTTCCCTGGTTCTCTTGTCAGCTTTGCTGAATGAACCTGTTAATGAGCTTTTACTTCTGTTATTTTTTCCTTTATTTCTAGTTTACTTTTAATTCTTTGCTAATGCTTTCATTTCTCTGCTGCTATTATCCTATGTTTGATTACATGCTGCCTATTTTCACACTGAAGCCTTTAACAGATTAATAAGTAATATTTTAAATCCCCAGATTTCCCAAATATGTGTCATATCTGAATCTGATTATAATGATTACATTAAACATTATGATGTAGGTGATTTAATATGCAATGTTAGCTTTAATAAAAACAAATGATGAAAATAAGGGAACATGTTCATATTTGCTTGTATGCTCATGAACAAGCGATGTAAGGGTAGAGTGAAAAATTGCTGGTCCCAGCTTCTTTCATTTTTTCCTGTGTCTATATCTTCTAACAGATAGTAATTCATCGATTAATCAAACATTTAAATGATTTACAGGTATAAGTAAATATTTTAATTATGTAAACATTTAAATATAGGGCTATTCTAAAGTATAAAGGAAAGAGAGACTATGTCTTTACCTTTCACTTCTAGTTTAAACTGCTTTCACTTTGCTGTTGTACAAACTTCTCAATTCTAAAACAGTCCTGGCTCTTGAATTTTGTTCTTCCTTGCATAGAAAGATTGAGTCAGCAAGCCCTTCAGAAACCTTGAAGGCTGGTCTGGGTCACTACTGGCAAGGTATAACAAAACTTGAGTTTCTTTTTCTATAATTGTTTCTGTATATTGTTTAATTCTTTTTTTCTTCAGTTCTATAGGTAATGGGATTCCCCCTCCACCTCCCATTTCCCTACAAAGCACTATTTTCTCGTATGCTGTTATAACAGTATAGTCCTTCAGCAACAGTCACAAGTTCAACATTCTGCCGTTTATTGTCTTATCGATAATTATCGGTTTTTAAGCCAATTAGTTGGCAAGACTGGAGTTATGGATTAAGTTTTGATGTACCTTTACGTAATCTGGGTGATCCTCTGTGGAGGTGTTAGGCAAACCATGCGGATCCGTGTTGTTCACCATGGCTATCATTGTGAGGCTCAGACACATGCGCTGTGCCATTATCACAACATTGCAAGAGTGTATGAAGAGCGCCAACACATATCGAAAGGAACAGAAATTTGGACCTGGGAAGGAAAACACAAAGCTCAGTTGTTGCTAGAGCTGAGCGGAATCATACTTTAGCTCTAGGAAGACCACAGAGATTTTGAGCTCTAAGTATTAAATTATTGAACTTAGTGGCCCTCGATGTATTACCATACAACAGAAAGAAGCGTGACTAATGAAGTCATTACATTCTTCTAAAATATAATTCCAGCTAAAATGTCCAAGAAAACTTTATCTTAAAAGCTTTATTTATTTTTATTGCAAAGTCAGATATACAGAGAGGAGGAGAGACAGAGAGGAAGATCTTCCATCCGATGATTCACTCCCCAAGTGGCTGCAATGGCCAGGGCTGAGCCGATCCGAAGCCAGGAGCCAGGAGCCTCTTCCAGGTCTCCCACATGGGTTCAGGGTCCCAAGGGTTTGGGCCGTCCTCGACTGCTTTCCCAGGCCACAGCCAGGGAGCTGGATGGGAAGCAGGGCCTCGGGAATTAGAACCAGTGCCATATGGGATCCTGAATGTGTGCAAGGGGAAGACTTTAACCATTACACTGTTGTGCCGGGCCCAATGTCCCAGAAAATTAAGGCAGTAATCTAAGAACTGTAGTTTAAATTTAAAGGGCTCTATCCTTTATAAAAACATTTGCTTATTCTTGAAACTAAATCCTCTTAAAAACAACAAAGACATCTCTCAAGGAACTTCTCCACTCTCTGAGAATATTAATTGAGAAACTCATTGTGTACATCACAAGGAAAAATTACATTAGTTATAGAAAAATAATTAATATAGTGTTGGTATAAAGGCAGATAACTGATAGAAGAAAGTAGGGAGTCCAAAAACATACATTTTATGGTTGAATATGTTTGTACAAACTTAACTAATGCAACTGAAAAGTGGGAAGTAAAGCTGTTTTTCAATAAACAACATTTTCCTAAAAGAGATACAGACATATGTTTACTAAACAAAAACCCATTTACAAAAGTGTTTATAACAGCTTTATTAAAAACAACAGAATGTTTGGAAAGGATGAGCATATGGTGGTGTTACAGAACACCATAAGTTGCAAGAAACAAACCACTGATAACACTCAATAGTTAGGGAAACATGCTTAGGAGCAGAGGTGAGACACTGGAGTGTGTCTACTGTATAGATTTATTTCTGCAAAGTTGGAAAACAATAATTATTCATCTTTATGGCCCTCTTCGCCTCCAGAACCATGAATACAAATCCTCTTTTTGTTGAATCCCTCCCATTCTTGAATTCTTTCTAAATGCTCTGGCTCTGGCCTCAAAATCCAAATTTAAAGGACTCAATTAGTATCACCTGAATAATTTACCTACTTAGGATCAACTGATTTGGGACCAAATGAGATCTGCAATATCCCTTCAGGAAATATCTACCTTTGTGTTTGCTTAAATAACTGAGAGAGGATATGTACTCACAAATGGTAAAAAGTCTTGGAAGTAATCTTAGGATTTTCCTACTAATACTCTCTATTACCTCTGGCCTCTGAAGACTAATGTTCATCCCAGGGTTCCCAAACACCTCATTACAGCATCAGCTCAAGTCCCAAACCTCCTGAGTGCAAAGTGCAAAATCGCATTGCATAACACATCTACATCAAATACAGATGTGCCTCCTAAGATTAAACCAACCTATGGCACAATGTCCAGCTGTGAACTTGTCTTACTAGATAATAATGGGGCAGATACATGATAAAACTGTGGACTTTTTAATCCCAAAAGGGAGTAAAAGGAGTCATTGATCCATAAAATTTTGAAGTTAAACTAGAAAAATGTTAGCTTGTTCTTGAGGCCTTCAGATAATCCTCATGGTTTTTGGGCTCTGCATTCTCGGCTCTTGGGACCCCTAGAGAGTACAAGAGAGCCTGGGAATCTTGGGAGCCATCTGTGAATTCAGTTTTCCATACGTGCACAGCTAACTAGGAGTTTCTACAATGAATAAATATTAACTTCAATAAGAAATTGTTCTGAATTATTAGATTGTTACAGAATTTTCCTCTCTACGTGGAGTACCATTTATGCATTTCTTAATGTTTGATTCCTCTTCAATTCCTAAAATAAACCTAACATAATTTTGGTGCATTTATGTTTTACAAATACTTAGACTTGTTTTACTGATATTTAAATTTTGCAATGTTATTTAGGGTTTTATGATCTTATATATATATATGTGTACAAAAACACACACACACACACACACACACACACACATATATATATGTATTTGCCCAAAACTGAAATTGGAAAATTTCAAAATATGAAAACAACTATATAACAAAGTGAGCTAAAGAAACAGTACAGAATATAATAAGGTATTCACTTTTTTATAAATTGAGAAACTATATTACCTATTGTCTATCCACTCTTCTGAGATTTTGTTCCCTATGACATAAAGACAGCTCTAAACCAGTAGTATTAATTGCTAATTCTTAATCTTCTTAAAGTAGTTTCTGAGTGTTTAGTGAATCAAACGTGCGAACACTCACCCTGCCTCATGGCCTTCCACGGATGCATCTTTCCTTTGAGATGAAAGTAAAATTGCGCACCTTTTTTGATATTCTTTGGAAAGTGATGGATAAAGATGCACAGTAGGAGACATAGTTTCAATGTGAACAAGCGGGGCACGCCGCATCTTTCTCTCTATGGGTTTTTGATTGGAGAATGATTGTTTTTCACCTCCTTTCCTGAACTGTCATAGACTCCTTACCTGTCTCCGCCAATGTAATGACGTCACCCAGATGTGGTGTCTTATAAGATGGAGGAAGCCTGATAATAGAATTCAAAATACAGCCCTACCTTCCTTTGAAGGGAAATGATTATCCATTTGTGGGCAAGGCTGATGTTGCTCTTCTTAGTGAAGAGTTTGGTCTTCATCCACTGTAAATAAAAAATGCAAGAAATATCATCATAAAATGGGTTATGACCAATCATCACCCACTACTCCTCTCTGAAACCTGCATGGAAGGGGAACTTACTGTGTCATACCGTGCACATCTAACTCCATTTGTACTTACTTTGCTGTTTCACTCACTGATTTTTTGGTCAAATAAAACTGTGCAGAAAACTTTAAGACTATTGAACATACAAACAATTGCCAACTCAGAATTCAATTTGATACTGAACTTCACCACCAACCTATCCCTGTCAGTCCATTCTTTATGATTTGACTACATGTTTATATGACCATCAGGTGCCCCAAGACACTTAAATCTTTTTTTTTAAGATTTATTTATTTTTATTACAAAGTCAGATATACAGAGAGGAGGAGAGACAGAGAGGAAGAATGATTCACTCCCCAAGTGACCGCAACGGCCGGTGCTGCGCCGATCCGAAGCCGGGTACCAGGAACTTCTTTCCAGGTCTCCCACGCGGGTACAGGGTCCCAAAGCCTTGGGCCGTCCTCAACTGCTTTCCCAGGCCATAAGCAAGGAGCTGGAAGGGAAGTGGAGCTGCCGGGATTAGAACCGGCGCCCATATGGGATCCCGGCACGTTCAAGGCGAGGACTTTAGCCACTAGACCAAGCCGCCAGGCCCAAGACACCTAAATCTTAAGATAGGATTTGCAAAGTATTTTCAGTATGTGACCACTGTCATCAGACATTGTGATCTCCTCAGGAGCTGCTATTTATTTTAAAATACACACATACAAACCACTTGGAGGGTCACGCATCTAGCTACCCACAAGAGGAATGCACAGAACGATCCTCCTGCCCACATGCATGCCCCACATGTACAATCCCATAGGCACACATCACAATATCACATTCACTGCACATGTGCAAACCACACAACGCACACAGCATAGCCTTTTATTTACACTCCAACACAGTGCAAATACATATCACTCCCAGGTACATAGAGGTAGATACCACATACTTCTTTCTTGTGTCCTGCATACAACTCTTCATCCATAATGCAATCTTAAAATGTGTTCTTGCAAAAAACCTCCAGAAGACAGTCTTATCAAACTTCCCATTGTTGCTAAATACCTTATTCTTACAAAGATGGCTCCTTTATAGCCCTCTGGGAAGTGAACCGATTCTTAATTTGAGTTAACAAGCAAGCTTGAAGAGTAATGCTCACCTAGTCCAAGACGGAACTGTGATTCCTCCTCTGTGAAGAATTGCTTTCCACCTTGCACAGTACTGAAGGTGCACATTCACTAGCTTTAGTCCCATAAATCTTTCACCAAATCCTTTGACTTCACTGTATCAGAGTTAAAAAAAATTAATTTTTAACTTTGCTGTCTTTTGCCTTGACTCTTGTAAGGAATAGTGTGTGTTAAAATCACTCAGTGTAGCAGAAACCTCCCAGGATCCTGTCAATCATTTCAGGGGATAATGAACAGACACCCTGAGCTTTCACTTCCCGGGAAGGCAAAACATGCTCCCAAGATGTCTCTACTCACAGTACTTCTCACAGGGACTCGGGTTTTCTAAGGACACCAGTGAATGCCCTGTTGGCTTTTTGTCCCTGCTCTCCCTCCCTTTTCACTCCATTCTTTTCTTCATCGCTCCTTCCCTCCCCCCACTCCATTCTTTCTCTCTTTCTTTTTCTTTCCTTTCCTCCTTCCTGCTACTCCCTCCCTACCTTTCTCTCTTTTCCTTCTTTCTCCCTTCCCAACCTCCTCTTTCCTGACAATCCAATCAGCCTGACATCCATCACACTGAGAAGTCCATTTTATCACCGTGCATCCTCTGAAGGGTGACACTCCCCAGCTTCTACTGTGACTTGTAACCTCTCCTTGTTGAGCATCTTGGCTGAGGCTGAGCAGAGAACTTTTAACTTGGAGCTCCTTAAAGTTGATCTACCAGTCTATCAGGAACATCTAAGCTCCAGAATCAGCAGTTTGGTACTACAGATAACTTAGTACACCCTTAATAAGCATTTTAAAGTTTCTGTGACTCGTTTGAAGTAGGCATTTCAAAATGTTTGGCACATGGTGTGTACTCTATAAGCTGAACTAGTTGTTTTGTTTTTTTCCCTGAAAAATGCCGCACACCTATGCACCCTTTTGCCAAGAGGTTTTAATGTCTTGCTATGCCATTGAACTGTTCTTCTTCAGAATTCCAGATTCTAGGCATTCCAGGGCTTTGGGACTGTCTGTCCTGTTTTATATCACAGCTGAAATTCTTGGCAAAGGGACTGTCCTGGCCCTGAGTCAGCAGTTGCTTAACGTCCATGCTTTTGATAAACAACACTCCCATCTGGTATCAATGTGCCAGTTTCTGGGTACTTATTACCCAGCAGAGAACCTGGTTCCTATTTCCAGACCTCAAGGCTTTCCATTACTCTGCGCGGCTTGTAAGTGGCTTTAAAGGGGATTTTGCATCTGGATTCTGTATTTAACTTTAGTGTTTTATTCTTGAAGTTTTGAAACATTTCAATAAAAAAGTGGAACAGCAAATACTAACTCATGACAATCAACAGTTATCACCAATACCTGTTTCCCTGAGTATTTTAAAGCAAATATCAGTTGTTACACATTTCTCTTACTCAAAAATCAGCATAGAAATCTAGTTCATTAAGACTTTTGAAAACATTAGCCTATGTAATATATGTACTATACTCCCTTAATATCATCTAATATTCAACCATTGTGACAATTTCTCTCATTACTTTAAAATACTTGCTTTTATACTTCTGTGATTTAAATGGGGTTCCATAAAGGATCAGCACTTAATTGTTAGGGCTCTCGTGTGTTTCGATTGGTAACAGTCCTGTTTCTCATCTTAAATTTGTTGGGACTAGGAAACAGCAAAAGCAACGAAGCTGGTTCCTCTGTGGAGTCTCCCATAGCCTACTTGGCTAAGTGCTGCCTTGTTCTGTGTTTATTTTTCTTATCCTATGAACTCCCAGCTGTGTGGGACTCTCGGTTAGACTCAGCACAAGAACCCTTGGCAGGGTGCTCCCTATTCCCTGTGGCTGCTTCTTGCCTCACTTCTGCTAAGTGTAAGATTAACTAGTGGGTTTAGGTGTGCGGAGCATGACTTGCCAATAAAGCTCTTTCAGGAACTGTTAGTAAATATTGCCTACAGCTATTATTTCATGAAAAGAAGCAAAATGGCAATTTTCCAATTCAGGTATACCTTCTGGATTTTTGAGCGGAAGTTGTTTTTTTGATGAGAAGGAAATTTACTTTATCAAATATTTGGTAACCTGAAAATACAGATTTAATAGAAAACACATGATAAATATTTTAAATACTTATTTCATTTTATTAGAAAGTCAGATATACAGAGAGCAAGAGAGACAGAGAGGATGATCTTCCACACATTGACTCACTCTTCAAGCGGCCACGATCGCTGGAGCTGAGCCAATCAGGAGTCTCTTCCAGGTCTCCCACGCGGGTGCGGCGTCCCAAGGCTTTGGGCCGTCCTCGACTGCTCCCCCAGGACCACAAGCAGGGAGCTGGATGGGAAGCTGGGCTGCTGCTGGAATGTGAACCGGCGCCCATATGGGATCTCGGATGTACAAGGCCAGTACTTTAGCCTCTAGGCTACCATGCTGGACCCTAACACACATGAGAAATATTTTATAAATCTTCAGATTAATAACATCGTGTCTTAGGAAAGATAATCAAGAAGTGCACCGAACTTCTTTCTTTTCATTGGGTGCTCCGATTGTCCCTTTCTTGGTGTGAAGAGTCCACTCAAGCTGGTTCTATCATTACAGTGTGGCCTTCGTAGTCTTGCAGAGCTTTTCAGTTTTCTAGCACAAGATTTTTCCAAGTTCCTCATACATTTCGTGCTTTCAGACATGAACTTTGCTAAGACATGCATGCAGCATTGCCTCTGAATTACTGATTAGGCAGCAAAAGACCATTTTGGAAATTCCAATTTAAGCATTAATGATATTAAATTCTCATGAAAGAAGTGCATCCCCACAGTGACAAAATTCCGATTACCAAGCCTAGCTTCCTGTCTTTAGACCCTTGAACCTGTATTCTAGGACCCCCATGGATATCAAAATCTTCAGTTTTTCAAGTCCTGTATATAAAATGGCTAGTATTTGAACATAGTCTGTGCACATTCTCCTTACACTTAAATCATTTCTAGGTTACTTATAAGACCAAATACAGTACAAATGCTATGTAGATAGTGCTGAGGTCTTCGTGCTGCTGCGTCTACATCTGCAGCAACACTCAGCAAAGTATGTTCTCTACATTGTTTGTGCTTAGACATAGTTTGTGTTTCCCAAAGACCCAAGTTGTAGAGGCTCAATCCCCCAAATCTTAAGTTAATGGTAATGGGATTCTGGTGCATATTTATGATGTCCAAGAGGTGTGTGTAGCTGGAGGTCCTTCCGTCACTAGGATACCCCTCAGAAAGTAGTGTCTGTGTGAGGGTTCGTTATGAAAACCCAAATTCAAAGCCCCGCCGCCCCAGGCTCTATTTTCCAACTTCTTTCTCTGGTTCACCAGGTGATCTTTCCTCAGCACACACTGCCCTCTTCTGGTCTCATTAGAGGCTGGACTGTGGGGCTGTGTGGTCTTGGAACTATGCGTCTTCAACAACATGAACCATCAAAGACCTCCTTCCTGCACTTGTAGCTGCTGCGGGATACACTGAGGACACATTGACTAACATGAACTCACCTAACATTTTGCATCATAAACTGAGGATTAATGGTTAGCTGCTAGAGTCAACAGCAGAGAAAGGGAACTTGAGAAGAAAAGCAATAAACAGAATGGTGAAAATGAATGTGATCCAGTGCTGAGGATACTAGCCAAAGAGGAAAGGGGTAATTTAAAACTGAAATGGAAGTTTTACCAAAATCGTAGACATGGAAGACATGGCAACTCAAGCAGTGACTTCAAAGAATCCTTTGAAAGATGCCAGCGCAGTGTAAGAATAGCTACCTGAAGTTCTTATGTCATTCAATATGACTGCTCACGTGTGAAATGGAATAAGGAGAAATGAGAAAGAATGAATCAAATGAACATGCTTTCCAGTTTCCTATTGACTTGACAGAAGATGATAACACTGCAATAACAGAACACTGAAAATAATAGATTCCTCATTGGAATACCCAGAAATAGTTAAGCTTTCCTGTAGGCAAAAGGCCTAGTAGGAGCAAGCTGTTGTTCAAGTCACAAATGCAATTTTTCTCCCAGTAAATGTAAATCATAACCGCTTCTGCCCCAGGCTGGTATCGTTTGGGGAAATACAGGTTTTATAATGTGTTTTGGTTTTGCTTGACTATTACCTGAAAACTTCCAGGTTTAATGATAATGCATCAGTGAATTGACTCATAAATTGTACGCAGCCAGAATGATATGGACTATGCTTATTTTTAAAATGATGGTTGAGAAACTACCTTAAAATATTATACTAGAGGCTATGCATAAGCCTGATAACAAATTGCTTGTGTATTAGGCTTCCATAAGAACTGTAAAGAAAGGCCAGTGTGCATCAACTAAAGGCAAGCAGATATAGAAAAGGGAACCAGGAAAAATCCGTTGCCAGTTGATGCATTCTGGTCACATTTGTGCTCAAGAGAGACAGCCAAATAGTTGTATTTTTCATGTTGTAAGCAAATCACTTTTTTTTCCCCAATGATCCAAATAACAAAATTCAGAATGTAACAAAGACAAATACAAGAGTTGATCCTTGCTTATGTGGCCTTTCTTTATGATGCTGATAAAACAGCAATTAATGAAAAGTATGCACTAGAAGGGGACAGCTGGCTGGGATAAGTCCTAAATAAATGCAGACCAGCAGGTGAAGCCTGCAAAAATGAGATGTGATGAGTGCATGCATGTTGATGGAAAACCAGCAGGATAGGATAATGAACTCCTCAGTGTAATGTCAGTAACATGGAAAAAATAGAAATACCAATCTTGATTAGCATTTATATTCATTTTTAAATATTGGGTTTTTTTTTTTTTACCTGTAGTTAATGTCTTGCCTCTAACACAAATACCATTACTTTAAAGAAGCAATCTAATCCTCTGGAACTTCAATTTCATGGCAGTGAAGAAATAAAAATAATATTTATCAGTCCACAGTTGTATTGTGAAAATTTAATAAAAGGAAATTTATGATTTTTTTAACGTCTAGTGGGTGATCCTGATCCAAGTTCCATGCACTTTCAGGAGTGATAGAGTGAAATGGCTATGGGCGTAGACGCTTGGGTCAGGCAGCCTGAGATTAAA